TATATATATGCACAATGAACCCAGCCACAAAACAAAGCGAACAGACAATAACAGAAAACAGCATCCGCCGCGCCGCCAAGACGGAGACTACCACAACAATGCGGGTAAACAAGTGAAATGAAACATAATTTCAGGCGCCAGTGGCGCTTTTGCTACGTCATTGGAAGCCTAGGCTGTCGCAAACTCATCGCTTTAACGCTTATTTGCACTTGGACATACATGCATACATACACAAGATATGTATATGTATGTACATATTCACCAACTTTTCATTTTTTTTTTTAAAGAACGACGATTCCTCTATCTACTGGACATTTTTTACTGGTTTTAGTTCAACCACTCCAAGTCACCTCTGAAACACATAAGAAAAATGCATGCTACTGTTGCTATGTATGTGTGTGTGGTTGCCACACAAATACCTTCCTTGTGCAAAACAGGCATTGCGGTATTTACAAGAATTCACATACATACATACTTATATGGTTAGTATTTGTTGTCGTTGCTGGGTCAACATATATTCCTGTGTGTCTGGCCTCATGTACTTACATATATACGAAATAGTGTGACTCTGTGTATGTATGTCTATGCGGGGTTAGCAGTACATATTACACGGTTTCAGTCGTACTCTGTTTCATTGCTGCCTGCAACGTGCCAGATGTTGGACGTGTCTCTTGCGCAACGGGAGTGAAAAGTCAATTTCCAGTTGAATACTTCTAAAAGTGTTGGGTGTTTTTTTAGTCAAAATTTCAAGTAAATAAGTGTGAAAAGTTAATGCAATTAAAAAGCCTTGAAAATTTGCTTAAAACCGCAGTATAAGCGGCTCTTGAGGGCAGCTTGCGCTAAAAGTACGAAATTGGGTCATAGTAATTCGCTAAATAAATGTATTTATGAAAGGAATTTGAAAGAGAATTTTTTGTGAAAAAATAAACAAGGCAAGTGAGTTTCCATTTTTTTATAAAAAAATTATAATTGCTCTTAGTTTTCTTTTAATAAAAATTAAGACTAAGAGGTCGATTAAATCTAGAAAATGTTTATGTTTTATAAGAAAGACTATTTCGATCTAAACTCAGAAATCAACCAAAAAGTTATAAGTATTTAGAAAAACCTAAAATTCGCTTGCTGTAAAACCTACACCACAAGAAATTAAAAAAATATATATTTATACATAAAATAAATAATGAATTTCCAGGTCCATTTTTCATATAACAGTATACTTCTAAAAAGAAGTCCTCGGGGAACAGCAAGTCAACAAGTTTTTAGTTTTAACAATATTTATTATGTGTTTTTTTTTCTACTTAAGCTTGCGCAATTTTTTTTTGCGTTTATAAGTAAATTTTGCAGCAAAGAGCTCCAAAGCTCAAGATATAAAAATATTTAAATCTCCATCTTATGAAACAAATGATAAAAAGCACGTAAATTCGTAAAAAGAGATTCAAAAATCGTAAACGAATACTGGAAAATCAACATCCAAATGTCAAATTTATCCGGTTTCGAAACTATTTTCCAATATGGAAAAATTTGCCTTCATATTTCGAAGTTGGTATTAATGAAAATATTTTTTTTTTAATCATATTGAAAAAATGGTTTTCAGGGTTTTCGAAATTATCTTTGAGTTCGAAATATTTGTCATCGCATTTCGTAATTGAGTTTAATGTATACATTATAAAATGTCAAAATCCAAATTTCAAATTCATGCGGTTTTCGAAACTATTTTCGTATATGGAAAAATCGGCTTTCGAATTTTGAAGTAGATATTATTGAAAATATTTTTTTTTCTAGATTTACTCATATTGGAAATAAATATTTTCAGGGTTTTCTATACTATTTTCGAAGATCGAAATAGTTGTCTTCGAGTTTCGAAATTGAGTGTAATGTGTACTTCAAATAAGTCTTAAAAATTTATATTTATTACTTGTTTGTAGAAACCTGCAAAAAACCCATAGTTAGATGGCAGATCTAGAGAGATCGCACGTGGACGACTATATGTAGTCCTTTGTGAAGCCATAGAAATGAAGAATTACTGCATAACCCATAAAATAATCTAAATTACCTTCAAGTCTTCATGCAAAATCTAATTAACTAAGTTACTTGATTCGCGACCTTATCAATTACTTTCACATTTTATTCATGATTTTCATTGTCAACTTGAGTGCTTTCAAAGACACAACTACGCACAAACTCATACATAAAACTCATGCATACATATGTATACACCAAATATTTGTCTAAGCAACCTCCGTTATGCCGGTACGCAATCAGATGTTTATCACGCTCTTTTCTCTATGCTTGCGTTGCACCTCCACTGCAAGCACTGCAATTTACAACAAAAGCTTAATTTACGCTTACGTTTGCACTTTTGGCGACTGTGAATGCGCGTGGCGAACTCATGAGCGGGTGCAAAAATCAATAAACTTTGCGCTGGTATACAATTCGCTTGCAGTTCAGCAAAAATTGCAATACACAAATGGGAGTACATGAGAAAAGGGGTGCAGTGCAATGAAATCCCATGCAGAGTGTAAAGTGATACTGCGTACTTTTCATATAATATATATTTCTGCGTGATATGTGTAAATAAAACACTTTGCTGGCTTTTTCAGTACACATATGTGCCTATAACCTATAAAAAAAGTTTCGAATTCTTTAAACCATATGTTAAACTCCCGTAAACATATGCTAATATGTTCATATTTCTTTACAAGCCTTAATGTATGCGCTTTTATCTCAGCATGCTTACTATACAAATTGCCTGCTGCCCTAACCTATGGCAACAAAGTGGCCATGCAACATTTCTGGAAAACAGTATTTAGGTTATTGGGTTATGAATCATCCACTGCGTTGCTATGAACTCCAATTCATATGTGTCTACCGAAAAGGCAAATAAATGTGTATGATAGCATGTACCATGTTGCAGCTGCTAGAATGCTGGCTACAGTTGCTCATATGTATTGCAAGCGGTGTGCTTGTGGCATAATCAAAACAAATAAAGACTTGCGCTGACATCGCTCCGTGTTTGAAGAGCTTGATTGCCTGCCAAATAAGAATAAATGAACGTGACGTTATAAGTTTTCGAAGTGCAATAAAGTAAAAAGTTTATAGCTTGCGAAAATGTCATTACTGCAATGAGTTGCTATTAATTTATAGCTAAAAGACTTTTTTATGCAACTTTTTTAAGAAATTATTACGAAAAAGTTTAGCGTTTCATTGTGCAGAAAATTTATAATTACAAGCGAAGAAAAAAGGGTTTCGATTAGAAAAATTAGAGTTAAAATCTGTGTGGCCACGAGTGTGGGTCTCTTTATAAAGCCATTTGAATGTAGTAGGTTTAAAGATCCAGTACCATTTAACACATTTTGATTATTTTACGAGTCATTATTAGTTTGGAAACGGGCCTAAACGAGTACTTTTTACATGGAGATTTAATATTTTAGTATTTTGAGCTTTTCTTTAAGCTTTGGAGTTTTTTTTAACTCTAACTTTTTAAACACTCGAGTGCGCGAGTTATAAAATAAGCAAACATTATAGAAAGAGAATTTAAATACAAAAATACTGCTTTCTTCGAGATTTAGAAATTTTATAAAATTATGTCCACATTTTATAAAATTTCCAAAACTAGAAGAAAGTGGTATTTTTTTTTCTGTAAATTTTTTTCTAAAACTTTACTTTTTTCCATCTTAAGCTTTTCTTACAGGAATATATAGCAGTATATAGAAATGAAATTTTGAGGAGAAAAATTATTTACATATGTACTCACACAAATGAAGCGTTTCTATTACGCTTATTTGCTCTTGTGTTCGCTGTTATCTCGTTCTCAGGATTGGATTAATGGTTGAATTAATACTCTTATGAGCTTTGATGAGTTTCATAAGACTTTTCACATATTTTTATACATATTTTTTTAAATTATTTTTACGTAGTTTCCACTAAGTTACAGTGTAAGTAAGTCTGAAAGTAAAGAAATTTTCAATTCTTCAATTAAAAAAAAAAGAAATTTTAAATCAATAAATTAATAATTAATTAATTAATAAATCAAAAATTAATAAAGTATAAATTTTATTGAAATTCAAATATGAATTACCAAAATATGCAGAGATTTCTTAGTAAACAGCCGATAGTACAGGGCGTATACGCAACATGGGATTACTTTTGCCTTTTGCATTGAATTTTTAATCTCCAAAGTAAGCGAACGAATGATGAAATGATAATCGAATAGAAAATTTTTCGCCTTCTGAATGAGTTCTGAATGAGTTTTTCCATAAAAAACACTCCTTTCATAGTTATATTTGTTGCATAATTTAAACTGCCTATAACTTTGAAAGTAATGATTTTATAAAAAAAATAATCAGTACGTGCTTTATAGAGCAGAAAATTTTGGATTCGAATATCTTTTCGCCATAGTATTATGTTCGCCAGCTTTGGAGATAAAAAATTGTATGCAAAAACTTTTTTATCTTCCTAAAATCCCATTTTACTTATACGCCGTGGACTATCGGCTGTTTTCTGAGAAATCTCTTTAACTATCATTTTTTCAAAGCTGTAGGTTAAAAAATCTCAAAAAGGACATGTTATTATATATTTTGAAAGCAAAATGTGATTTAGGCACAATTTAAATTGAAAATAACGAAATCAAGTTGAAGTTTGATATTTAGTTAGGCATAAAGAGCTTATTCTATTTTCTCTAATATACTAACAAAAATTTGCGCGAAATACTACAAATTATTTAACAAACAGCCTACTTTAAAATTTTAATAATTTTTTCGGTGTACACATTTAATAAATGTCAGCATGGCAAAACTGCGCTACTAATTATTAATAATATTAATAAAATTCCACACTAAAATGCCCAGCACTGAACACCACCACTAATACAGCATTAACAGCTAACAAAAATTATTAACAGCAAAATGCAATAACGCATAGTTAATTATATAACTTTTAAATTTTGAAAATTTTTACTAATAAAAAAATTTAATTTTTCTCACATTTCTTTGCAATTCGTTTAGAAAATGTTGGCTTGAATCCTCATTTGTTGGCATACGACCACTGGACTCACCGCAAACACCGGTCATCGAGACGACAGCAACCGCATTTAGTAGCGCTACGAATACCAACAACAATACAGCAACTAACAACAGCATTAGCAGTCAATACAATAATTATAATTATAATTACAATTACAATACAAGTAATTCATCATCAAATACATTAACGGCAATAACGACACCAAATAGTGTTGGTGGCATCGGCATCACCACAGCGATAACAACAAATCCACATGTGTTACGCATGAACGGTCTGAGTATCGTTGGCGGTGGTGAGTCCACAATTATGATTTAAGCAATAATTACTATGTACTAATTTACTATGAGCGCGTTGTATGTATACAATTACCGTAAGTCCTAAAATACATAAGCGCACACACACACACACACACACATGTGAACGCCTATGGAATGTAGCGCTGGCAGCAACAGCAAACACCAGCCAACTTTTTTCACCGCAAAACCAAAATTTCTACACACACACGCATATACACGTGTACACATGCGTGCACACACACACACACTTTGAAGCTAACTTTTCTTATTGAAATTGAAAATATTCTGTAGTGGAAGCGCAAGAAAACGTTTAGCGTGCGAGGCAAAAATGCTCTGTTTGTTTGTTTAATTTTGTAGTGTGCAAGCGATTCGCAATAAAAGCAACAAAACAAGCAACGAGTTGAACATATTTGTAGTTATTTAGCCATGTAGTTGTCACATACACACATACATATATATAGTATATTATATATATACTTAAATGTATACATTTTAGTGCATTTCATTACTCACATATAAATATACCGTTAATTTGTAGTGTTGCAGAGAAAAATTTAAAAACATATTCAAATTATTAAAATCTGCAATTAGCATGTAAAAATTTAATTTTTTCATTTTAAGTGCGCACAAGTAGATTTCGTTAAAATTTTTGTTCCAAAACGGTTTTGAGGCATCTTCGTAAGCTACAGATGCTAACAAATGCAAGAACAAAAAGTCCCACGGCGTTCTTACAATTAGTTTGCACTACATTTTTTTCGATTATGTTGTTTTTAAAACACACGCACACCCACACTTATATATACATTATTTAACATTTAATTTATATAACTTTACATACATACATATATACAAAATATATTTAAAATGTATTCTCGATTGTATTTATATGCGTATAAGTTTACCTTAATTTCGCTTTAATGTAAAAACAAAAACAAAAAACAAAAATAATTCGAAAACAATTGTTGCAATATTATGTTTTAAATTTCAAACGTACATAGATATTTTTAAATACGATGAAGTGGAAATACATTAGAAAAATATGACAAATTGAAAATAAAATTTAAAACAAAAATTGAAATGACAAACATCTTTAAACATTGAGGAATTTTTAAAAA